TTAACTCGAATGCATCTAGCAATACGCTACATGAAGGTGAAAGCAAGAAAGTTTGGCAAGTCGTGATACATAGGATGTTACTTTTTTAACTTAGCAAATTTGTTTTAAAGAAGCCGTGAAAACTACACTACGGTTTGTGCAGGTGACTTATACGGCCAGGGAAACATATAGTAAGTTTATAAAGAGCCAATTATAACGATCTGTCAACTAATTAACTAAATTATGTATTGGAAACGAACATTTGTTCTAATTAGAAGAATGCTGAGTTTTATCAGAAACCACTAATTCAATAATTTTTAGAAAGACTTTGAGCAATTGGAGAGAGCTGTAGTGCGCTGAAGTTAAAGCTCGTGCAGCAGAAACAAGGCTACAGGTGCGATAACCTGTTTCACCCTCTCTTATCATCAGCCCTTTCTCACACTGCAGTCTTCTACTTGTTGCACCAGTGGTTGGTCACTTTAGCGCACTACTGCGATTTCCACATGCTCAGTACTTCTAAAAATAATTGATTTAGTGGTTTTTGATGAAGCTCAGCAGGTTTTTAATTGAACCATGTGTCTATTTTTACTAATTAAAACATAAATTAACTATTTATAGATAATTATTCAGCTTATTGGGACGACTCGTCCCTTATAATTATGTCCATTAGTCGCAGAACTCACCTGCACAAACCGTACCAGTGTCGCTTTCACGTCTTATTCAAATATATGTATCAAGCTTAAACAGAAACACCCAGTATATGCATTCATCTAAACAAAATTATAAGTAGTGACAGATGTTGCGATATATACGTTTATACAAAAACGGTAACGAGGCAACTGTCAATATACTACAAATTTAATGACGTTTAATTAATACGGAATGTGAAACACTCAAGATAAACTCTTTCCCCAGCTCAGTGCATCAACGAGCGCAAGAAAAGCAATTATTCGAAATACAGAAAGCGTCGGAGGAATAACAAATTAACAAAATAAGCTCTTCGTTACCTAGTTTAAACAATGTCGGATCTGAAAGAGTGGTAGCATTTTCAGGGAGTCTATTCCAAAACTTTATGTATAGCGCCAGTGGGAAAAACTTCTAGAAACAGGTTAGTTCGTGATTTCCTTGGTTTGACTTCGCATGAATTATCGAACCTGGAAAAATATACACCGAGCAGGTATGGGCTAGTTCGCTTTGAAAACATATTTGCACGTAATAAATATAATGAAAAAAACAAACATAAGCGTGCTATATTTGTGGGTTTTCTAACAAAAAAAGACTAATTCCATGTCAAGAAAGGGGAAAAAAACGCAGGAGAGCTGGTGATTGACATCTATTGTATACCTTAGACAAAGGAATAATAGTATTTAAATGAAAACCTACAGAACAACAAAATCTCATAATGTTATCCCACGCACTGGCGCTTTTCTTTTTCGGATTAGTGATAGTTTCGTTTTCGAGAAACGGAACTGTCCGCGATGTTGAAGGTCTAAATGCTCCTGCGGTTACCTTCTCTTGGTAATACCGTAATAGAATTGTTTTATTCGAATGTATCTTAACTTTCCGCCATCCGCACGTGTTTGGGAAAGCCCCCGCCCAGTAAGCACTTCTTGAGGCGTTGTACCCAAACCGGCCTCGCGGTCATCGAATAGTACGTGCCCGTTATCGAGGTATTGACGTTGTCGATTTCAGCCGACGGCAGTCACTTTGAAACGGCTTGAAAACAGTGGCTGTTGCGGCGCGCGCAAGGCGAACGCGCCTCCGGGAGAAGTTGGTCGTCTGTTTGCAGCGTACGTCACCTCCATCGAGCCAAGACTTAAAAAGCGGGTTCACACACTCGCGACTGTTCATGACTGTGCGCCTTAAAACCTCTTACGACGACATCGGCGTCATCTATCGGGTATCCGTCGAACACAAGCGTCTGCGTGTTTTTTTCGTGTTTTTTTTTTTTTTCGTGCAGCATTACTTTTTTTTTGCTTGAAAAACTTTTTTGAATTGTCATAAATGACAAATTTTTCTAAACAGTACCTGCATTTGATCTCTCAAATTCTGCAAAACATTCGCTCCAGTGAGATGCAGTTCCAGGGTCGCTTATTAGGTGGCACCAGCGTGCCAGTCTGCTTTCTCGTCGTGTAAGAGATCACAAGAACTCGGTCGTGAACAAACGCGAGTTTGCGAACGGGCCTTTAATGTCAAGTTCACACCAACGGCAATTGTATACACCACTAAAGGCGTCGCGGCAAAAGACAAACCCGGACGGAAGTCACCGAGTTCTCGTGTACGTCGATGATAGCGGAGATCAAACCGAGCAACCGGGCGCAATCGTCACCCTTCTAACGGGCCACTGATTGCTCCGCTGCAACGCGGAGATGGGCCATAAACACGGCGCTCCGTGATTAGAAATAGTGCGCCACCGAAAGACAAGAAGGGCTCGTTCGCAATGGCGGGCACAATGGCGTTCGTTGTATATACCAGACGAACTTCATTTCCGGCATTCGGTTCGCGAGAACTGCGAGCGCGGGATCGCTCGTAAAAAAAGTGACCGTTTATTTACACGTTCGTGTCTTTCTTTAAAAGTAGCGCGGTGCTTTACGAGGTCGGCTTTAGCCCCCGTATAATTTTTTTTTTTTTTTTTTAACGGCGCGTGCGCGGCCGTTTTTATGTTAGGCCTAGCTGTCGCGTGGGCGCACCAATGGAACGCGCGGAGTCCTGAATCGAGCGTGATGAGCCTGTGGATTCGAGCAGGACCTCTTTGTTGGGCGCTACGTCACTGCAAGACATCGTTACAGGCGCATTGTGACCACGAACCAACCGGTGCTCTTTTTAAACTTCCCCATGCCTCTAAAGTCGCTGCCCTAGCCTGAGAGGAATCACCATTTTGTGGGCTTTCAAGAAAATCTTTTGTGGCGCGTGCACAAGAACCCATAATCGCTTCTCGGTCTAAAAACAGACGCTACGAATACACACACGTGCCGATAAAACGACTGCGTGATTTTTTTTTTTTGTCATTGCGCTTTTTTGTAAAAAGCAATTCGCAAGAAGTATACTAATTTTGTACTTCTATGAAATACTTCGCACAAACAATGCATGTACTATTCATTTCTTTAGTAATAGTATCATTAGCATATCCTTTTAGTACGCACAACATAGTTTCCATGCTAACTAAAATACGAAGTACACAAAAGTACAGTAAAAGTACTAAAATGTACTTTCGGTGTACTTTATTTTGTTTTAGGAAAGCACAAAATGGGGAGTAAACACTTTGCGTGTAGATTTTTAATGAGGGTTACGCAGTTCACTCGACACACTGAGCACATACGACAAGTTGCAATATACGCGCTGAGTTGCGTTCGCTATTTTTGGAAAGCTCTACGCTGCAAAGCTGGAAACAGATTGCTTATGGGAACGTATCGCGAAACGAACGACGAAGACGAGCAGATCTTTTCAATTCTGCGCATTCTTGCCCGGCATAATTCTTCAATTTGCCTCTTTTCCACACGAAGCGACGACGGTCCGCGGGCGAGACACTCGAAAGCCCCTCCGAAAAACAGCAGATATTCGGGGAGCTACAAAGGCCAGCGTCTGCAGCGCGGACGAACCATTAAACTCGCACGTCATTTAGCCTCATTTCTCTAAACATCTCGGCATAATTGCGTCGAAAGAGAAAGACAAAGACGAGCCCAGACGCCCCCAATATGACGTCCGGGTATACGTATAGCGTTGGCCAAGACAGTTCCCCGCCCTCCCCCTCTCCCCCCCCCCCCCCCCCCCCCCCCCGTGCTCTTCGGTCGGAAACTGGAACCAGAACACCGCTGCTTCAACCTCCCGAAAGCGCAAGACGCCCCTTTCGAAAAACAACAACGTGGGAGAAAAAGAAACCGGGAGAAAAGAAGAAAGGGCTTCTGAGAAAAAGTTGTTGCCTCACCGCAGATATTGCCCGATGCTCCGATGTGCCAACCGGGGTGCCTCACCAGACAGTGTAAACGTTCTTCTCGTGTTCCTCCTTTGCCGCGCGGAATTCTCCTCTACCAAAATTGAATCCAGTAAATCCATCGCGACGCAGTCTATAGCCACCAGGCGACGATGTACGAGTATGCCTTCAAACACTGCCAACTGGAGGCGTGCGTCAGAAGGCGAGACTGCGTCAGAATCTTTCCAAATCAACGAGGCTATTGGCACTGAAAACTTAATAAACGCGGGCATCTTATGATCGCCCCATTGTCAATGAGATTGCGCCATCTCGCCACGCGTCTGGGTACCGTGACGGGTACCAATACGTTCGCAACACGGCATCCTTCCTTCTTGGGGTTTTTGTGACGCTCATTAATGTTTCTTTTGTTTGTTACATTCTAGAACCAGAGGCAGCGACTTAGATTCGTGTCCTTCCAGGAAAAAAACAAAACAAAAAAAACATTATTCGCCACCGCTTTCAATTCTGTTCCGCTGTCTTCCCGAAAACTCATCCTCAAACGGGATGGTTTGCTCATTTATCGGAGGGGAACAAGAGAAACACCGAAAAAGCGCTAGATTCTACGGCGTTTGTTGACCGACACGGTCGGGCGCAGTTACTCCCCCCACGAACGATCTGAACAAAACCAAATCTTTGATACAAAAAAAAAAAAAATTGTCAGCGAATGAAAGGAAGCTACGCTAAGGCCCCTAATCTACGAAAGAACAAGCAGAATCTTCAATCGAGCGATACAAAAGAGCACTTACTCTAAATGCTTCAATAACGCCACAGTCAACAACAACAACGAGACAAGAAAACAAAAATGCCGCAACGCTGTCACTACCACTGCTAAACCCGCCCCCCCCCCCCTTTCTTTTTTTTAGCCCCAAATAAAAAATAATAGAAAACACCGTTCGCATTTTTGCGAGTCTTGCAGGGACAGCTGACTTCCCCTTTTTCCCTCTTTCTGTCTCTTCCTTTATTTTTAATCTTCTAACTTCCCGAAATGCGCCCTTCCCATTCAACCGAACCTTGCAGTGGCACGCGCCTTTCTCCCTCGTTTTCCCGTTTCTTCCGCGCACTCACCCTCGCCGAGCGCTTAACAACGCTTCTTCCTTTTTTTCCCCTTTCCAGGGACCCTTTCTCCCGACTCTCGCTCCGCCGCTTCCTTTCAGAGCCCACCCACAGTGTGCGCTTCTGCAAAGCTACGTAAGAAAGGCTCGAGGGATGCGGTAGAGGGTGTCCACAAGACCACGTGACCCCCTCGGAGACAGACTACAAAAGCGGGAACCCGGGGGACCGTCCTGCTAGTCGGGCTTCCGAGCGAGATCGTCCTCTTTGTCTTTCTTACCAAACCCCTCTCCCACCACGCATCTTTAGTTCTACGGAACCAAGACACCGATTTTTTTTTTCCATTCCCTTCCCGGTACAAGAGGGCGGAACTTCTCGTAGATTCTGACGCAGTCCCGAAGAACGTTTCTGTGGGTCCGAGTGAAAGTGCACTTTGTCCAGAAAGTGAGTGTGCAACGCGGGAAACTTGAGCCGCCTCCCGACACCGCCGCAAACAACACCATCCGAAGGTGAGCCATTTTAGATCGCCCTTCGTCGTCTCTTCTACCAGGAGCCGGTTCGAATAAGCCATCGATTCGACTGAAAACTCCCCCCTAGAGCCGATTGAACTATTTTTTTTTATTATTACTCTTTTTGCGTAACTGACATTCTAAAAATTAAATAAAAGAATGGTTGGCGGTACTGTAAGAAAGCTCGAAATAGAACATAGATAAGCACCAACTAGAACTTCAAAACGCACGTAGAAGCATTTGCTTTATCGTTATTTATCCTGCTGCCTTATATCCGGTTTCTATTGTGCAAACAAAAATTTTATTCTTGATCCAAGAACACTTTTGACAAGTGTCAAGATGAACGCGAACTCAGGAACCAACGCCTCCTCTAGCTAGACTCCTGTCATACGAGCACCGCGCGTCATGCCGTGCCCTCTCCTCTAACCCTCTGCCAAACGGCCGAAACGGCCGCGAGAGGCACTGACCTCTAACCACGCGACGACGACGAATTTTTGTGTGAACCAGAAGAAAAATCACCGGTCACATCTTGAACTCATCATTAGGGAATTTATGAAGCCCCTCTTCAGCAATTAAGGTTTGGGAGCTACGGACAGGAGGAATGCTGCCGTGAATATTTTCGAGAGGTAAACCTCTTATCCCGCAAAATGTTGAAGTTGTGGAAGCATCTGGCGCCTACAACTTGACACAAGAAATGCCCAGATAAATGTATGCCATGTACATGAATTTGCATCTCTGACATGTCTTTTAATGTGAAATGTATGTCGGAGATGAAAACCCCGTGTGAGCGGTAGTTCCTAAATCACAATTTCCGTAGTAGCGGCAGCACTCTTAAAACTCGTTTTTCAAAACGACTCTCTCATATTGGCGCATATAATGTTTTTGTGGGGTCAATATTTTGGCAGAGGTCGGTTTCGGAAATATTTTGCGGGTACAAAATTTCGCAATTAAGAGAGACATGCGCTTTTTCAAGTCGCGAAGATTACATCCTCGCAAACATTACATCGTTTACAGTGCCTTTAAGAGGCGACTAGTTGCAGCAGCACTATCAAGTCTGCAATCAACAAACTTTCGTGCATAATATCTGTAAAGTAAAACAGCCCACCACGCTCGAGTACTAGCGAAGACCCACATCGAGGGCCGAAAAGCAGCTTGCGGATAGCATGCTACAGTTAGAGATCCTGTATTAAAGAGAGTGTCCAACTGCACGACCGGGGTCACGTGGTTTATGAGCCGCGTTTGCAGCAATAATAATAATAATGGTGATGATGATAATAATAATATTTAATGGCCCAGGAGAGCCACGGCACCGCAGAAAGGCAACCACCCGTACCACGGAGGCCCGCGGTGCCGCGTCTAGTGATGGTGGTTATGTGATAAAGTAAGGATATGTGATGATGTAACGATGTAATGACGTGACGATGTAGCAATACGAGCCTCGAGGAGGTGGCGAACGCATCGGTCGTCTGCGAGCGTCTCTACCTTTCGACCTGCTTTCCTCCTTGTCACACTCAGCGCATGCGCACTTTGCGACCAATCTCCATTCGAGGCGTCTGACTTTCAATTGCGAACGCTCCGCCGTGGTTTGAGTTGGACCCTCTCTACAATCTAGGCTCTCTAAGCAGTGTCAGAAACGGGCACCACCGTTTGTCTACAACTCAAACACAGGCGCGCCCACAATGGGAAAGCGAGCCATCTGACAGATATTTGTGTACAGGAGGCGCTGCATGAACTAAAACACAATTTTATGTATAACTTACTCAAGATCGAGTAGGCACCGACACTCTCACGCAGCAATGCGTGGTAATGCAAACTGTTCGCAACAATACGGGCAATGTTTTTTACATCTTCAAGCAACCCTGCAATTGTCACAAGATGCAGTAAACTATAAATGTGTCTACTAAGCTCGGAGAGATGGTGTCAGGGACAAACAAAATGAAAGTGTCCCTCGAGAATAGCAGACGAAAATGAAAAGAGCACCGTAAAGCGAGGTCCCTGGCTGGGCAACGGTGGCTTTCCCTCTACAAAGCTCACTTAGTGGAGAAGACAACTCTCCAGGAGCAGTCTCGACATATTTTGCTTTCGCGTTCTGTATAACTTGGAATTTTAACTTCCTCGCCCTCCGGCCCCTTTGTGCGCACACCCGCTCCACTCTCACTCACGGCGCCTTCGTCCGTGATCTGCGTAAAACGCAATTACGGGCTCCAGGTGGCGCCTCGAACTTCAAGGCCGAACCGTGTTTACTCCGACGGAAGCGGTATTATTTTCTTTTCCTCACATCTTACGTTGCACATTATTTGACGAAATTGAAATGCCGGCTGCGACTAAGTGTGTTCTCCGTCATTTTTAGTTCTTCAAAAATGAAAAATGATCTTTTCGTCGAGAGAAAAAGCTCGCATTAGGCGACGGCGGCAAAAAAAAAAGCAATTTGAGGGCGGCCCGGTTTTTATGTGACGTGTGACCTCGCATTCTTGCAAGAATGGTACGCCGCAACTAATTTTAGCCTTAGAGCAACACTTTGACCTAAGTGACCCGAAGTAATCCATCATCGCTCATCTAAGAAGCCTGCAGGATGCGTAATTTAAACGTATATATATATCTATTATGTATACGAACCTCTAACGACTTTAAGTTCAAAAGTCGGCGATTCACAAAAGCTTTACTCCAGGACTCTATAATCAAATTTCTGCTTTTTCTAAGAACGCTTTGGGGAGCAATTTTTTATTTAGTATATGCGGTGAGCATTGTGGCTGGTTTTTGCTCGCCCCGAGATGTCAATTTCACTCGACTTAATTTCGTCGTTTTTGTTAGCCAGCCAGTCACGGCACAACAAACGACAGAACGCGTTATTGAATACAAACGACGTGTACCCTTACGAAGCTGTTTTTAGGCGTCACAAGTCGATAGTAATTTTCGTTAAACTATGTATTTCGATGGAGGCGGACGCGGGGGATCGGAATGATTAATGAAGGATAGCTGGCTTCCGTTTGTCCGTAATTTACAAAACGCTGAACTAATAATAAACAAAAAAGAGAACAACGAAGCCTGCATGGCTGGCAACTGGGGGCTGTTCGTTCTTTATGGCGGGGAGCGGTTCGGGGACGAGTCTTTCCCAATCCGACGTGCCTCAAATTCGAGCTTCTTTTTCTAACGATTGATGAGAAATCGCGAACAGTGCCGGAATGAGAAACTGGGCGCCGCGCACGGCCTTGGAGTTCCAGCGATGAACGGTCGCCGAAACCGAAACTGCACCGTCTGCCGCCCCGGGCAGACGACACGAAAAAGTTGGCGCGAGCGGCGAGGGGAAGAGGGGCTCCTTCTGTTCGAGACGCTCATTGTCATGCGAGGATTCCGTCTCCGGAGAGGCCAACGCGTATACGGGCAAAGAGAAGATCGACGGCCGGACTACGTCCGATTGTAATTAGAGCGGGAGTGGTCGTTACGCGTCCCGACAGCCCGTGGGTTTTGCAAATAATGGGAGGATAGTGGAGCTTTGCTCAGACGAAAGGCACTAACACCGGACTCATACGCATATCACAATCACCATTCTAGTAGTTGGGCACCTTAAGCACACGCTTCTATTTCTGTTCTTATTGCAACGACGTGCTGTTTCGTAGTGGATAACGTTACAATTTAATGTGCGTTCGAGATAAGGAGATGAAACAAGGAACTAGGGAGGGCAGCCAACTAAATTCGGAGCAGAAGTTCATCTGCTCCTTGCACAGAGGTTGCAATGATGATATCAGGACACCAAGTCCTTCTTGGCTCATTGAAAAAAATATATTAGGTAGAGAACTGCTGGGGACAGGCGGAAGAGAGGAAAATTTTTGAACTCCCTCCCGCGTGGCTCCGGCCCAAAGTCTCAACCCTGTCTCCCAGTGGGCCCGGTGCTGGGGCGACGCCGACTAGCTTTGATCGGACGAAATTTAAAGACTCCCTCGACGGGGGGAGGAAGTGGGGGATGTTTCTTTTTGACCGATCCCACAAAGGTCATTGTGGTGATATTCTGTACGCTGCCTGGTGATAGTCAAAAATATGTAGAGGGGAAGCGAATTGGTCTTGGAAAAGCAAGAAGATGAATCTTACTTTTGATTTCTAAGCTAGGTTTCGAAAGCTATCTCCCGCTCTGAAGGGGTTCGCCACTCGCGAGCAAATATGGCGGTCAAAAACAGATCGTGCCGCGCCATGTGCCAGCTCAGCCCATAACGCCCGGATTTCAGCAGGAAAGCATCGGCCTCAAAATGGTTTTCCTTGACTTGTATCCACTACACAATCCGAACCTGCGGCGTAAGCGAACTTCACAGGCTTGGCCCTTTCGAGACTGATGAAAGGATTACCTACTCTGACACGGTGCTTCGATCGCGCTGATTAATGTTTATAAATGCACGACGTTTGATTTACGCGGTTATGTTCCGGGCGATTAGGCAACACGCTGATACAACAGTAACGACAGAGTCACTAGGACAACTATTCGCCCTACATTAACATAACAATCAATGCATGGAGCACCAAACCATTAGGCCATTATGGTTTTACCTGCGGTCCTGTCACTGCTGACGTCGATGGTCCAGACGCAGGAGACAAAGAACAATAACGAAAGCGACCTTAGAGCAGAAAAAGAAATCAGACAAAAAATTAGGCGTGTTCGCTTTCCCGTAGCGAGTTGAAGTTGCTCAAACGCTTGGGCCCGTGTTTTTTTTTTTTTTTTTTGCTGCTTTTTTTGCGTTTAAGACGTCGTCAGCAATATGAACCCGATGTCCGCGTCTGTGCCTTGGCGTGCCGAAGCGCAACAAATGTATGGGACAATGCCCTCGGCGTTCGGGGCAGGAGGCGGTCTTTTTTTGCAAAGTCGTAAACTGTAGAGCCGATCCCGGAGGCAGTGCAATACCCGTCGGTCGGCACTCGGGGAGGTGCGAGGTCCACGAGGACACATCACCGCTAAAACGCTACGATGAAGTTTTGTAGTTTTGCTACGATCGTCCTATAATCAATCGCGTGTG